CACCTACCTTTCCCCACATACAGAAATTAACTGAAGATGGATTAAAGATTTAAATGTAAGACCTCAAACTATCAAAAATACTAAAAGGAAATGTCCTTCTTGACATCGGCCTTGGCAAATAAATTTTGGTTAAGTCCCCAAAAACGACTGCAGCAAAACCAAAAATTGACAAGTGGGACCTAATTAAGAGCTTCTGAACAGCAAAAGAAACTATAAACAGAGTACACAGACAACTTATAGAATAGGAGAAAATATCCACCAACTCTGCATCTAATATCCAGAGTCTATAAGGAACTTAAACAGATCAACAAACAAAAAACAAATAACCCCATTTAAAAATGGACAAAGGACATGAATAGACACTTCTCAAAAGAAGACATACAAGTGGCCAACAAACATGAAAAAAATGCTGATCAGCACTTAACATCGGAGAAATGTAAATCAAAACTGCAATGAGATGCCTTCTCGCATCAGTCAGAATGGCTACTAAAACGTTGAAAAATAACAGAGGCTGGTGAGGCTGTAGAGAAAAGTGAACACTTAAACACCATAGGTGGGAATGTAAATTAGTTCAGCCAGTGTGGAAAGCAGTTTGGAGATTTCGCAAAGATCTTCAAACAGAGCTACCATTAAACCCAGCAATCTTACTACTGGGTATGTACCCAAAGGAAAACAAATCATTGTACCAAAAAGACATGTGTACTTGTATGTTCATTCCAACACAAGTTACAATAGCAAAGACATGGAATGAACCTAAGTACTCATCAATGACAGACTGGATAAAGAAAATATGGTACATACATACCATGGAATACTACACAGCCATAAAAAAGAAGGAAACCATGTCCTTTGCAGTAAGATGGATGCAGCTGGAGGCCATTATCTTAAACAAACTAATGCAAGAACAGAAAACCAAATACCTCATGTTCTCACTTATAAATGGGAGGTAAACATCAAGTATATGGAGACAAAAAGATGGGAATAACAGACACTGGGGACTCCAAAAGGGGTGACAGGGGGTGGGGAGTAAGGCCTGAAAAGCTAACCATTGGGTACTATTCTCACTACTTGAGTGATGGCATCAGTTGTACCCCAAACCTCAGCATCACACAACATACCAGTGTAACAAACCTGCACATACACCCCTGAATCTAAAATAAAAGGTACATGGCTACCGGTTTTCAAAAAGACTATGAACTATCTGACTTTCACCCGTTCTTTTTGGCTTCCTAATTCTGACAGAATAAGCCTATGAGCCATCTTAGACAAACAGGTCTAGACAGAATATTTTGTGAAGAGTAAATAAAGCAGACACATATTTATATTTCTAATCTTATGGAGATTTAACAACAAATGGAAAGTACTCCAGGCAAAATGAGTTTTGGGTTTCATTAAAATGTTATGAAAGCTAATATAAGACATTCACAAAAACAAACAAAAAAAGCACTCCAGCAGGAAATACTATCCGTAGGATCATGACTGGAAACATCTTATTTTCTGTCTCTTCACTGCAATCGCATTACAACAAGGTTACATCATAAAAGGCCACTCCTTCTGAAAATGTGAATTGCCTTTTCATATCTACTCTGGCAGCTGCCTCAGTCCATTTCTTTCAGGTGGGGAACAGCACAAGTGGCATCTGTGGCGTCATTCTTTTTTTTTTTTTCTTTTTCTTGAGACGGAGTCTCACTCTGTTGCCCAGGCTGGAGTGCAGTGGCATGATCTCGGCTCACTGCAACCTCCACCACCTGGGTTCAAGCAATTCTCCTGCCTCAGCCTCCCAAGTAGCTGGGATTACAGGCCTGTGCCACCAAGTCCAGCTAATTTTTGTATATATATATATTTTTTAATAGCGATAGGGTTTCGCCATATTGGCCAGGCTGGGCTTGAACTCCTGAACTCAGGTGATCCGCCTGCCTTGGCCTCCAAAAGTGCTGGGATTATAGGTGTGAGCCACGGCACCTGGCCAGTGGTGTCGTTCTTGAATGATTGCTCCTTTTAACTATTTTCTTCAATTTCTCATTACCATTCCTATCTTCTTTATGCTAAACCTCCTGCTGGCAGCTGTCTCCCTCTGGCTTCTTATTCTTTCCCATGTCCTTGGCAGTGTGGCTGATGGGCTGGGGAGGCTGTAATCAAGGGATCTTCCTTCATGGCATGGTCTAGCCTGGGAATGGGGCGGAGGCAGAGTGGACAGGGTAGCAGGAAGAACAAAAAGGCACTAATAGGGGTCTAAGGCACGTTTATACTTTGGGAGCCACTATTACTGGAGAGTAACACGAGAGACCCTCCCTCCCTCCCTCCCCCTTTTTTTTTTTTTTTTTTTGAGACAGGGTCTCCCTCTGTCACTGTCACCCAGGCTGGAGTGCAGTGGCGGTATCATAGCTCATTGCAGCCTTAAAACTCCTGGGCTCAAGTAATCCTCCTCCCTCAGACTCCCAAAGTGCTGGGATTTTTTTTTTTTTTCTGAGATGGTGTTTCACTCAGTTGCCCAGGCTGGAGTGCAGGGGTGTGATATCAGCTCACTGCAACTTCCACCTCCTGGGTTTAAGTGATTCTCCTGCCTCAGCCTCCCGAGTAGCTGGGATTACAGGTGCACACCACCATGCCCAACTAATTTTTTGTATTTTTAGTAGAGATGTGGTTTCACCATGTTAGCCAGGCTGGTCTCGACCTCCTGACCTTGGGTGATCCTCCTGCCTCAGCCTCCCAAAGTGCTGGGATTACAGGCATGAGCCACCGCACCTGGCCTCTTTTTTTTTTTTTTTTAAACATAAAGTCAAAAGAAGCTAATGGCAAAGATAAAGTTACATACACTCTGAGTAGATTCTGGTTTTAAGACATCTGACAGCTGTTATGACAGAGACTTCCAGTTCTGCTAATTTACTATCTGGGCTGCATCTTTGCTGAGACTGGGTTTTTCCTTCCACCTTCTCTCTCTCCTCACCTCCCCCAAAAGCTTGAGGCTGGGAAGGGAGTGTTGTGGTGCCAGAATTTTCGGAAGGTTTAGCAAAATGTTGTAAGAATGCAGTAGGAATTGGTGATTCTAAAGAGGGTTTCTATTTAGTGCGAAAGATACAGTAATAAAGCTTTTACAGAAATAAGTAGGACAACATGTTTATGATCTATGAATAAACAATTTCTTTTTTGTTTTTTTGAGATGGAGTCTCGCTCTGTTGCCCAGGCTGGAGTGCAGTAGCGTGATCTCAGCTCACTGCAAGCTCCACCTCCCGAGTAGCTGGAACTACAGGCGCCTGCCACCACGCCCAGGTAATTTTTTGTATTTTTAGTAGAGACGGGGTTTCACCGTGTTAGCCAGGATGGTCTTGATCTCCTGACCTCGTGATCCGCCCTCCTCGGCCTCCCAAAGTGCTGAGATTACAGGCATGAGCCACCACGCCAGGCCATGAATAAATCATTTCTTATACAGAAAACAAAAAGCACTAACCATTAGAGGAAAGACTGATAAATCAGACTTAATTAAAATTAAGAACTGTGTTCATCAAAAGAAGAAAATTTAAGGCATACTGGGAGAAGGTATTTGCCATATATGTATTTGACAAAGGACTTACATGGAGAATACATAAAGAATTCTTAAAAGCAATAAGGAAGAGAATGACATCTGATTCTTAAAATGGGCAAAAGTTCATATCCTGTTTAAAGAGCCAATACTCCCCGCCCCGCTATGCAACCAACAAATAAAGTGGGCAAAAATTCTGAGCAGGTGCACTCCAAAAGGGATTATCCACATGGCCAATTTGCTATGAAAAGGTGCTCAATCTCCACTGCCAAAAGAAAAATGCAAATCAAAACCACAATGAGACACTACACATTACCCACATGACCTCCAGTACAGACTGATGCTACTAAGTGCTGATGAAAATGTACAGAAATTGACCTCTCATACATTGCTGAAAATACATAAATTATACAAATATTTCAGGCATCTGTTTGGTACTATCCTAGAATGTATACATACCCTAAGGCCCAGGAATTCCATTCCAAAGTATGTAACCAACAGGAATGAGCACATATGTGTTTCAAGAGACATCCACAAGAACATAACAGCGCTATTCACCTTAGCCCCAAACTGGACTTGACTCAACTGTCTACCAATAATAGAATGGATAACTAAATAATGCTATAATCCTACAATGAGTTACTAAATGGTGAAGAAAATGAATAAATTACAGTATAGGCGACAACATGAGTAAATCTCACTGATTCAATACTGTGTAAAAAAAAAAAAAAAGCTAGATGCAGGGGGTTCCCTCCCTCCACTCTGAAGTCCCCCTCCCTCTGTCTCTGTACAGGGGAGCTTCTATTTTCTGCCTTCTCCCATCTTTCTTGCCTATTAAACCCTCTGCTCCCTAAAACAAACAAAAAAGATAGATGCAAAATTACACAGTTTTAAAAATTCCATTCATAATAAAATTCAAATGCAAGCAATACTAACATAATATTTACAGCTGCATACTTTTGTAAAAATCCATAAGGAGAAGAATTGAGGACAATGGTTATCTTAGGGAGTAGTGAGGGGTTATGATGGGAAAGTCGTAGGAAAGGTCTGTGGGAACTGGCGATGCTCTTCTTCTGGATGCGAGTGGTGACTGTATGACTTTTCACTTCCTCACAGTTCAAGAAACTATCATTTGGGGCTGGGAGCGGTGGCTCATGCCTGTAATCCCAGGACTTTGGGAGGCTGAGGTAGGTGGATCACCTGAGGTCAGGAATTCGAGACCAGCCTGGCCAACACAGTGAAACCCCATCTCTACTAATAACACAAAAATTAACCAGGTGTGGTGGCTTACACCTGTAATCCCAGCTACTCCAGAGGCTGAGGCAGGAGAATTGCTTGAACCCGGGAGGCAGAGGTTACAGTGAGCCGAGATCACGCCACTGTACTCCAGCCTGGGCAACAGAGTGAGACTCTGTCCTTAAAAAACAACAACAAACTATCGTTTAAATTTTGTGCATTTTTATCTTTGTGTATAGTGTTTTACATGCACAAAAAAACTAAACTTATACCAGGTATTAATTCCTTTTCTGAACAGAAAACAGATACTGTCCTAGTAAACAAAAACTCTTAAACTAAATGCAAACAACTCTGAAAGCAATAGAAAGAAAATATTTGGAGAAGTTTTGGAGGTCCATTTATATAGGGCCTTTATATGAATTAAGCAAAGCACTCTTCTTTGGGAGTGTAATTTAGCAAAAGCTGTCTCCTTGGGTGGAGGCCCCACTACAGCATTCTTCCACACATTCCCACTGATCACAAAACCCACACCACTACCTCACTGACGCCATACCCACTAACAGTCACGCAAAGAAAACAGCCATTCTATATTGTTCTTTGGTGCTCTCATAATGTTTAACCTTGCCTTTTACTTAAAGGATTACAGGAACTGGCCTTAGGAGATCCAAAATATCCAACCAAGGTTGCAAGTATCCCACCTCAGGAAGGAATGCTAAACAACTGATTCATACAGCCTTGCTGCCACCAACCAGAACACCAGGTGGCCCATTACTCAAGACAACCATCACCAGCAGATAAGCTGACCCACATCCCTTCCCCCTCACGTTCTCTACCCTACCCAGCCAGCATTCCCTACCTTGACATCAATTTCCGCACATTGCCTAATAAAAAAAAAATCCCTACCAGCTCATTTCAGGGAGTCAGCCAGAGAATCCTCCCTCTCCTGTGCTTCCTCCCTTGTGCCTGGGCATATGCTCTAATAAAACCTTGCTGGAAAAACTCTTTTAGCCTGGTGAGAATTTCTATTGCATCAAAAGCCTAAGAACCCGTGGTCGGTAATACTTTGAGGAAAGGAAAAAGTCCCACTTCCCTAGGGAGATGCAGCTCTGCATGCAGCCATATGTTTGGTGGGTGGAGTGCAGACTGGCTTCCCGTTGCATTTGCCTCTCGGTTTGGGGGAATAGAAAGATGATAATTACATGCATACTGGCCCACTAAGCACAGGCACACATGGAACATGTACTGGCACAGGACTACTACTGCCCTGGGCTGGTGGAAGTTGGCTAATGTTGCCCCTTACCGCGTAACCTTCTGTCTTCTGGTACCATTTCAGTACAGCATTGTGCTTGGAACCGCCATATTCCCAGGCCAAGGCCACCAGGTTTCTTCTTTCCACACTGGTTAGAGAGAAGAGCAAATGTTAAGGAGAATATGCTAATGTTTAGAATCCTCAAATTCACAAGAAATAAATACCTACTTTAGAAAAGAGAATGTCTGGTTTATGCAGCCAGACTCTGAAGAAGCAACCACATTAGTTACATTAATAATATATTTGATGTCTCATAGTGTGAAATAAACATGAAATTGTGCCTCCTGTCATGAGTCTGGGGAGAGTTTTGCTACATTTTGTTTTAAAATCCATCTGTTGCTCATCCATCTAGTCTTTTATTTGTGTAAATATAATTCAGGCTAGAACTTTCAATTCAATCTCATTTGAATTAAGGATATCTATACAAAAGCATTCTACAGGTTTCAAGACTACATCAGTATCTAAATAACTTGCAAAGGGTAGAGATTGGCACAGCACAGTGGCTCACGCCTGTAATCCCAGCACTTCGGAAAGCTGAGGCAGGAAGATTACCTGAGCCCAGGAGCTTGAAACCAGCCTGAGCAACATAGTGAGACCTCGACTCTGAAATAAATAAATAAATAAATAAATAAATAAATAAATAGGCTGGGCATGTTGGTGCACACCTATAGTTCCAGCTATTCAGGAAGCTGAGGTGGGAGGACTGCTTGAGGCCAGAAGTTCAAGGATGTAGTGCATTATAGTTATACCACTGCACTCTAGCCTGGGCAACGGAGCGAGATCCCCACCTCTAAAAAATAAAAATTTTTTAAGGTATATTGGAAGGGCATATTAAAAATACCAGATATCCTGCCATTGCTTTATCTCAATGAGATAAATGTAAAATCAAAATAAATTGATTTTACTAATTCAACTTTTCACTATGAAAGATAAAATATCAATAGCATATTGATAGCTTTCCTGTATGCATATCTGGTATAATAAAAATGAGAATTTTAGAATAGCACTAATACTGGTTTTTAAAACCTCTTTTGATTATTTATATCTTGTGCACATAAACAGGACAATATGTAATATCTGGGGCTTTAAATTAAACCTCTGAAATATATGACTTTATCTGTTTGGGTGCAAATATAGGCTACATCAAGGTATAACAATAAGACCTAACTTTTTCATTCAGACTTTCATAAATCCTTTGACAGTACCCTTATTTGTAATTATAATATTTATTAAAAAGCTACTACTAGCTACTCAGGAGGCTGAGGCAGGAGAATTGCTTGAACCCGAGGCAGAAGTTGCAGTGAGACTCTGTCTCCAAAAAAAGAAAAAAAAAGCTATTACTCCAAAAGTAGCCAATTTTATATATTGATAAATAAACATACATTCATAAGTTTTACTGAGTGAAATATTATGTGTATTGCACAATGCAAGGGGCTGGGAGAGATACCAAATGTAAGCTGAACATTTACTGTCCACTAAATTACAGCATAAATGGAGATAAAGGCAAATACTGTGCAGAAGTTATCCACACCACAAAGCAGTACAGAAATTAAACACTGGAAACAGTGTAAGACACCGAAGTCAGAGAAGGGAGATGTTGGCCAGGCATGGTGGCTCACACCTGCAATCCCAGCATTTTGGGAGGCTGAGGTGGACGGAGTTTGAGACCAGCCTAGACAAAATGGTAAAAAAACTCGAGGTCAGGAGTTTGAGACCAGCCTAGACAAAATAGTAAAATCCCGTCTCTACTAAAAAAAATTACAAAAATTAGCTGGGTGTCGTGGTGCATGCCTTTATAATCCCAGCTACTTGGGAAGCTGAGGCATGAGAATCACTTGAACTCGGGAGGCAGAGGTTGCAGTGAGCCCAGATCGTGCCACTATACTCTAGCCTTGGTGACAGAGTGAGTGAGGATCTGCCAAAAAAAAGGGAAAAGGCAGATGTCAATGCTGCCAGGTGTTAGCTATAACTTCATGGAAGTTTTGACCTTTAAATAAAGGGAACAGTATTTAGAGTATGAAAGGGCAAAAGGAAGACAATTCAAGTTAGAACCTTATACACAAAGACTTACACTCAGATATGCTTGTGCAGTATTGCTAAGACACGGACTAAAATAGGTTCGGGTGGAAGGAGAGGCCAGGCTATTCTGGCAGGTGGGCAGGGGTGGTGCTAAGTACTGGAGCATCTAGAAGACTAGGATGAGGAGTGTGGATGACAGAGTCATGAGAAATTTCTGCAAGGTCTGTAGCAGGATGTGCTCAGTGCTTCAGAAGATTAACCAACATGAAGAAGCAGGAAGACATGAGAGGAAACAGTTGAAAGAGGTTTGCTGTAACCTGGGTGACCAGGGGCACTGAAAAGGAAGGGGGTGACTGACAGAGGTGTGGCAGCAAAGACCAGCTCTTAGTGACCACCCTGCTGGCCTTGCAGTCCTATCCCTCTGCCAACCCCTCCTTCACATCCCTGCAAAAGTCCTCCTTAAACACTGATTTCAAAATGCCTCTCTAATCCTTATATGCCACTGTTTTCTGTTGACTCCTCCTTAAAATATGGGTCCAATCTCACTGTACCATAACTCAAAAACAGGAACAAAATCCCATAAACTTGGTGGCTCCTCAGTGTTTTACCAAAATAAAGCACAAACCTCTTCCTTAGTAATGAAGATTTGCAATATGGCTCCAACCTGCCTTCCAGCTAGAATGACCTAGCCACCTATCCATCCACCCAACAAATACTGACAAAGAGCCTACCATGCATATATATGGCAGAGTGCCTGGCCTCAGGAAGCCCACAGTCTAGTCCAGACACACACCACCACCCACATTCCTCAAACTTCTACTTCTCTCTAGACTTCTTAAGCCAACTAACGACTCTCAAGTACTTTGCCTATTCAGTATTGTTTTTTTACAGCTCTTAATTTCATCTTGCACACTACTTACTGTCCAGCATCCTCCTTTTAAACTCGCTGAAGGCGGGCACTGCATCTTAACAGGGACATGGATTCTCCAGGCAGGACCACCACATCCTTTATAGGATCTATAACCAAATCAACCCTTGCTCAAAAATTGTGAATTTCAAGATGATGTCGTCAGAGCCCTTATGAAATTGCCCTCACCTGGGGAAAGACATTACCTGCCCCCAGGTAATGTTTTAATTGACAGACATCTGATAGAGAGAGAGGGAGGAAAATGCCTCATGTGATTATCAGATCACAGGCAGCAGCAGGCAAGAAACTGGGAACCATGAAGAACTATTTTACATGAGAAAAGGCCATTCCAGCCACAGGGCCTGGTTCAATAAAAAAGTAGAAATCATTCTGCAGCAGGAAGAGCCGCAAACAAAACCCCTCAGACACCAAGTTAAAGAAGGAAGGGGTTTATTCGGCTGGGAGCATTGGCAAGACTCCGGTCTCAAGAGCCGAGCTCCCCAAGTGAGCAATTCCTGTCCCTTTTAAGGGCTCACAACTCTAAGGGGGTCTGCATGAGAGGGTCATGACTGATTGAGCAAGCAGGGGGTACGTGACTGGGGGTTGCACACACCAGTAATTAGAACCAAACAGAATGGGACAGGGATCTTCATAGTGCTTTTTTATACAGATAACCGATTAGGTCAGGGTCGATGTTTAACTACCAGGTCCAGGGTGTGACACTGGGCTGTCTGTTTGTGGATTTCATTCTGTCTTTTAGTTTTTACTTCTTTCTTTGCAGGCAGAAATTGGGCATAAGACAATATGAGGGGTGGTCTCCTCCCTTAATTCTTTCAAGGCTCTTTCTGTTGTTATATTAGTCAGATTCAAAACAGATAATGAAATAGACCGAATCCTCCAGATGATATTTCTTTTTCTTTTTTAGATATGGGGTTTTGCTATGTTGCCCAGGCTGGATTTGGACTTAACATCCTGGGCTCAAGAGATCCTCCCAAGTCAGCCTTCTGAGTAGCTAGGACTATAGGAGCATGGCATGATACCTGGTCAGATGATATTTCGTAAAGGACCATAAAAATATAGAGCAGGAGAAACCTTTCAAGATTGTCTAGTTTATAGTTATAGAGGAAACTGGAGCTAAGAGAACTAAGTGCCTTGTTTAGAGCTATGCCACAGGCCAGAGACCAGGCCCACAGTTGCTGCCCATGACCCACAAATAGTCACGGAAGAAAACAATCCTTCTACAGCTCACAGCCACCAATTATGGGTACTAAAGTTGGGAGTGGGGCTAATTAGCTCTAAATAGCAGAGAAAAACAGTATTTACATCACTAAAGAGAACAACAAAAACAGCCCATTAATCCCTGTTTCTGTAGCTTCTGATGACCTCAATGTTGACAAGCAACTTCTGGGGACTGCTGGAAGCAAGCAATTGTCACTGTGATCCTTTGTTATTACAGTAAATAGAATCATCCAAGCAGACAGGTGCCTGGAGGGGGCTAAGTGGGGAGTATTGTCAGTTAGGTATTTACTTCAGGGCAATAGTTGTGGTCTCAACTTTAGCATGCATCTTGGCAATTAAAATAATGTTGTTTTTGGCCAAGCATGGTAGTTCACATCTCAGTGCTTTGGGAGGCTTAGGTGAGAGGACTGCTTGAGGCCAGGAGTTCAAGACCAGCCTGGGAAACAAAGCAAGACCCTACATCTCAAAAAAAAAAAAAAAATCAGCAACAAAGTTTCTGTCTCCCTAGCACAAGCACACTGAGAGGTACAGCTGGCAGGAGGTAAGACACTTAATTCCTTGCATCAGCTGCACTGCTGGATCTAATGTCCATGACATGTCCATTATTCAGGGGTTGAAACTGCAGTTAAGTCAAAAATCTTTTATGTTTACATAATTTACCTGAGAGGGGAAGGTCAGGAAGGTCCAAGTCACCCCTTTGCTGGCTGACCTCACACTGCTCTAAGCCAGATGCCTCTGTAAAAAGCGGGGCACCAGAATGGTGAGCTTGTAACATCAAGAACTGCACCAACACAGGTGTGTCTGTGCGTGTGTGTGTGTGTGCAACAGTTCTTAAACACAGTGGAGTAACTGGGGGAAGTTTTTAATTAACTCATTTATTCAAATAGGTAATATATGTAATAGACACAATCCTCAAAAGAAAC